TTTGTTACCTTAGAATGGGCTGTTTTTATCTACAGATGAATTGGGATGCCTTCCATGCAGTCCGCCATGTTGAACCACTTAGTTTCTATAATAGCCCAGAATAGAAAAACCAAACACTGGCACTAGATAGGGGTGTTCGCGTCTTTTGCACATGCTTGGAAGGGGAGGGTGAAGCGACTACACTAGATGCCACTAAATCCTACACACTTGACCTTTAAGTAGCTAACTAGCTAGCTTACGATTGATGTAGATTAGCTAACTAGTTAGATAATGCTTTGGTAACATTAGCTAAATTCTCAGGGGGTTTGGCTGCATTGGTTGCATGTTTGGACTCAGGACTTCAATAATTCTAAAGAACTGGCAACAGCGCTGCCTGCAGTTTGTGGATAGAAAGCTACACTCAGTTGTTCAGGATACGGCGTATAAAGCCAAAATATAGCTAGAAACTAGCCTATTTTCAAATTAAAACCTTGCTCAGTACAGCTTTGAAAAAACATGTTTGTGAACAATGATGTTTAGCTCCTAAACAAATGTACATGTTAGCAAGCACCTTACAGCAACTGTATGTATATACAAGTAACGTTTTTTTTTTGCTACATTTCTTATACAACTTATTAATAATGGCAGATTCACATTTCTGTAAAGGGACACTTTACAAACATTCACTATGTTATAATGTTATAAGGATGTGATTCATTTTCCCTTTTGCTACATACAGTTCATGATGACATACTGTTTAAGGGTTTAAGTGGAAACAATAGATCTATCAACTAACTAAGAGGAAGAGTGTGTGTGTGTTTGCAAATGTTACCCAATGCCAGACAGCAGCCTGAAGAAGAGGAAGAAACCGTAGCCCTGGGCGAACGAAGACAGGAAGGCAAAGATGCAGTTTATAGCTAACGCCACAACCAGACAGCGCCGGCGGCCAACTTTGTCTGCCAGACCACCCCACAGGAACGCTCCCACCATCATGCTCAGAAAGACCATCAGACCTGCAGAGGCAGAGAAATACAGATTGTCTGTCATCTCACATCAGTCACATGAAGTTACACAATTAGATATTTATAAAAATCAGAATCAGGATCAAAACACAGCCTCTGAGACCAACAGGGAATTACGTTACAGTCACTCTATTGAAAATGTACTAACTTAGATTGCTTGCTCATCCTGTCTTATGCTCCTCGTCTACACATGATCCAATATATAAACAGTCTTCTGCTGTTGGCCATACAATCATGTTCCGTCACTGGTTAAGTAATTAATTTGCTGTTTTGTTTAACTTTTAAAAAGAATTCCTGTCTTCACTCACATGCTTGTACAAAGTCAGGTATGTTACTATACCTCAAGAACAACTCCCAGGGTGTTGTAAATGGTAAATGTTGTGCATTTATAGAGTGCTTCGACAACTCCAAACACTTTGCAACACATACACAACACACCAAAATTCACGCACACACAACATCCATAAACTGATGGCAGAGGCAGCTGTGCATAGTGTCGACAGGAGCGGTTATGGGTTTAGTGTCTTCGTCAAGGTCACTTTGACATTCTTTCTGGAGGACCCAGTGATCAAACCGAAGAATTTTCCAAATACTAGACAACTCTTCTACCTCCTGAGCCTTGCTGTTGCATATTGTGGTAGTTCAACTGTATCTTTTCCAGACTGAAATTGTCCTAGATCCTCTGAATGTGTTACTTCCACTCTCTCCTTACTTTTCAGTTCAACCTATCATTTCTATATGATATGAATATAATTTATATATAATCTTGTGTGCTCAGTTTTCACAACAAGAAAACATTGAAGCAAACTGGAAACAACCAGTCAAGAGCTGAATAAACCCAGTCAGACATGAACTAACCAATCAGAGAACGTTAAGATGAAAACGTGATTTGCCTCCTCAATCTCCAAAACCTTGTTATCTATCTAGTTACATATAATATGAATGACTACAAAAAGCATGGCCTGTTTTATATAAACTCATATGAGCGGTGGCTCAGAGGCATAGCGGGTCGTTCCCCGATTCGGAAGGTTGTTGGTTCGATTCCCGGCTCCTCCTGCCACGTGTCGAAGTATCCTTGAGCAAGATACTGAACCCCAAATTGCTCCCGATGCATAGCATCGGTGTGTGAATGAGTTAGTTTCTGTTCGATGGACTTTGCCATCACTGCGTGAATGTGTGTGAAAGGGTGAA